TGAGAACAAAGTAATTGTTGAAAAGGCAAAAGGAAGACTCTAGAAGTGTAGGTGCTAAATCTGAGTTGGAAAGATATATTGGTGAAGGACAAGAGCAGTTGTCTAATGATTCTAATGACTTTAAAATCTTAGATTGGTGGAAAATTAATGCGCCTCGATTTCCTATTCTATCCGAGCTAGCTCGTGATGTGTTAGCCATTCCAATTTCAAGTGTTGCATCGGAATGTGCATTTAGCACCGGTGGCCGCATTCTTGATTCATTTAGGAGTTCATTGACTCCTCGGTTGGTGCAAAGTCTTGTTTATGTTCAAGATTGGTTTAGATGTGAGGGTACTCCTATTAATGTTGAAGAAGATTTCGAGTTTCTTGAGCAAATTGAACTTGGTAAGATTTTGCGTCATATGAGTGTTTTATTGAAAATTAGTTTACTTTGTAAGTTTAATTGACACACTTTATCAAATTATATTTAGATATGGCAACGAGCGGAAGAGAAACTTGCATTGTTGAAAGAGATAATAGCATTGTTGATGCATAGTTTGAACAAGTGGTAAGTTTAAAGATTTGCTTGTTTTATGATATTATTTTGTTATTTATAATTAAATATATTTTATTAACTTGTGAAATTTTCTAATTTTTTTTGTAGGTTCAACTATGCCTCGTGGTCCTAAAGCTAGATCACCTATTTGGGAATATTTTGAGCTAGTTAAAGTAAATGAAGAAGCCCGCAAAGAAAAGTGCCTTCATTGTGGCCGAGTTTATAATTGTCATCCAAAGTATTATGGCACTTATGGCTTAGTGAAGCATATTAAGAAGTGTCTTATGCCTCATCCAGTGATTCGTATTTAAGGCTTTAAGTATCATTTTCTAGACTTACTTTGTGGCTTGTGACTAGTTTGCCACTGTTTTGTTGTTTGGTGATGGTATTTCTAGACTTATTTTAGACTTTGGTAGCTGCTAGATTTGCCACTGTGTTAAACTGTTTTGCACTAGTTTGCCACTGCTGGACTGTGCGGTATTTTGCTACTTAGGTGTTCTGTTTGCACTGATGCCACTGGAGGCCTCCCTGCTCTCTGTGTGCTTGTTCTCTATAGTCTATTCTCGGTTTCATTTATAGTGTTGTTTCAAATTAGAGTGTTATTGTCAGCAAAACTTGTGTTAGACTGCCGTCTGCCACTGTCTTTCTCTGTTGCTGGGCTGGACGAACAACTAAATGACAATTTGCTGGGCTGTCTTTCTCAAAAGTCAAAATGACAATTTGCTGTTGGGCTGGACGAAAAACAAATAAATTCCAGCCTTGTTTATTGATGTTCCTACAAACCGTAAATACTTGTTGTTCCTACAACCGTTTAAAACAGAAAAAATAAACCGGAAATAACCGAACCGAACTTTGAAAAAACCGCACCGAACCGTAAATACTTTGGTTTGATTTGGTTATTAATATTACAAAATCGAAAACTGATAAACCGAACCGTACTTTCATAATAACCGACCGAACCGACCGATCGACGCCCACCCTACTTCTTCCTATTGTCCTTAGTTTCCTACTTCTACCAGCCAAGAATAGAAAAAATGTTATGCCACCAGGTCCCTTAGGAATGCCTTTAATTGGAAATTTGCATCAATTTGATAGTTTAACCCCTCATCTTTATTTTTGGAAACTTTCCAAGAAATATGGGAAAATCTTCTTGGTTCTGCTACTGTGATAGTAGTTTCTTCAGCAAAACTTGCAAAAGAGGTAACAAAAATACAAGATTTAGCATTTTGTAGTAGACCACCTATTCTTGGGCAGCAAAAGTTATCTTACAGTGGTCTTGATATTGGCTTTGCACCTTACAATGACTATTGGAGGGAAATGAGAAAAATTTGTGTTGTTCATTTGTTTAGTCTCAAGAAAGTGCAATCTTTTAGTCCAATTCGCGAAGATGAAGTCTTTAGAATGGTCAACAAGATATCTAAACAAGCTGCAGCTTCTCAAATAACCAATCTGAGCAATATAGTGATTTCACTAACTAGTACAATTATTTGTAGAGTTGCTTTTGGTATTAGGTATGATGAAGAAGCACATGAAAGGAGGAGATTTGATGAAGTTTTAGCTGTGACTCAAGAAATGATGGCTGGATTCTTTGTGTCTGATTATTTTCCTTTCTTACGCTGGTTAGATAAACTTTCTGGAAGTATAACTAGACTTGAGAAGAATTTTAAGGAGTTAGATGAGTTTTATGAAGAACTCATTGAGCAACATCTCAATCCCAAGAAGCCACAATCCATGGAAGGAGATATTCTTGATCTTTTGCTCCAATTGAGGAAAGAGCAATCAACTCCAATTGATCTCACTTTGGACAATATAAAGGCAATTCTCATGGTAATCAACTACTCTCAGCTCCATTCCACTTTATATAGTGGTGTTTGATGGCACGAAGTCTAAGAAAGAAAAACTTTTGACGATCTTAGATCTTAAGATTTTTAGATATATCGTAACATTTCATTAAGGGTAAAATAATAAATTTAAAGTTAATGAGTTTCTTGATATAGAAAAGTGTTAGTTCTATTTTTAAAAGAATAAAAAAGAGTATCAGAGAAGAATTATGACTAAAAATAATATATGTATATACAGGATTTAACAATATCTGCTTTTGTTTTTTCCTCCCAATTACTTTTGTAGAATATATTAGTTGGTGGAACAGACACGGGGGCAGCTGCAATAGTTTGGGGAATGACAGCCTTGATAAAGAACCCAAAAGCCATGAAACAAGTTCAAACAGAAATTAGAGAATCAGTTGGGAGTAAGAAAGGCATGGTGAATGAAGATGATATCCAAAACCTGCCTTATCTCAAAGCAGTGATAAAGGAGACATTTAGATTGTATCCACCAGTTCCACTCCTAGTGCCAAGAGAAACAATGCACAAGTCCATACTAGAAGGGTATGAAATTCAACCAAAAACTATCATTCATGTTAATTCTTGGGCTATTGCAAGGGATCCTGAATATTGGGAAAATCCAGAAGAATTTATACCTGAGAGATTTTTTAATAGCAATATTGATTTTAAGGGCCAAGACTTTGAGTTGCTTCCATTTGGAGCAGGGAGGAGAGGTTGCCCGGGTATTGCACTTGGTGTTGCAACTGTGGAGCTTGTACTTTCCAATCTTCTTTATGCATTTGATTGGGAGTTGCCTTGTGGGGTGAACATACAAGACATTGACACAGATGTTTTGCCTGGTCTTACCATGCATAAGAAAAATGCTCTTTGCCTTGTTCCTAGTAATTATCTCTAGGCTACACCTATTACTTATTAGTAAGTTTTTTGCACTTTTTTACTATTTAATTAGGCCAAAATAAAAGAAACACCTTTCCCACTTGTCTCCGTGTGATATAGGTCATTATGGATACGAGTCGTGAAAGCAGCCATTAATGCTTGCTTAATTGCATTAGGGTAAGTTGTTTACATTGTACCCTTTGGGTGCGGCCCTTCCTCGAACACGCAGAATACCTTGTGTACAGGCTGCAAATTACACTGCTCAGAAATACTTGCAGCAAGTCATATGACTTCACACTACTATTTTGCTCTCTTTCTTCCATTGTTAGGAGTAGATGATAATCATTGCCTCAAGATCCTGCCATGCCATACGTGCTGTCTTCCTTTTACAGTCTTTTAAGTTTCTTGAATAAACATGGGAGAGAGCAGTCTTGAAAAGGGAAAAGCATATGACAGTATAATTTATAAATCAAATTTTAACAGGCAACGTTTCAACATTAATTTGGTTATATACTAGTCAGTTGTCTGTTCCTTTTCTGAAATACTCGTTTGTTAGAGTTTTATAAAAGAACAGGACCCAAACGTCGTCGCCGGGGATAGAGCCCGGGTCGCCCGGGTGACTGACAGGAATACTCACCACTATACTTAAACGACTTAAATATACATCACAGTTCCTAGACTTCTACAGAGTTAAAAAGGTAAGAGGTGACACTTAGTGTGTCCGTGTTTCTTTTGTAGCGCTTTACTAGCACTCTTTTTATCTCTTAACTTGCTCATACTGATGCTTCTTTTGGTCTCTCTTTTTATTTAAACTCAAGGAGATAAGTTATGTTGCTATTTTATCATGTAAATTTTTATGTTTCGACTTCTGAAATAGCTGCTGCAATATTCTAGCTACAGAAAAGGTTCAAAAATGTCCCTTGATTATTTAAAATAGGACAGGTTTGCCCTTCGTTAAAAGCTGGCATCATTTGTGCCCCTAGGTTGACCTAAAGGAGTCATTACTACCCTCATTTACTAACAGACGCAATTTTTGATTTTTTTTATTCCAAAAAAATATTTTCTCTTTTTTAAGATTCACCTGGCACAACCCACTCCCTCCCCTCCACCCTTTTTTCTAGAAAGCTCAAAAATTGTCGCTGAATTATACGAAATGGGACAATTATACCCCTCTCCAGCCACTTGTTTTAGTTTTATTTTTTTATTTCTTTTTTCCCCCTTCATTTTCTTTCTCCTTTTTTCCCTCTCCTTTCTATTGATAAGTTATGTGTCTTTTGTTTTGATGATTTAACAAACTTCATATGAGAACCAGATAGGTAACCTGATACAACTAGCCTCTCTGCGTTCAGAACAACAAGTCAAATATCTGGCACAAGTTTCAATGAAATCAATTAAGGGAACAACATATGTAATAAATAGATATCAGTTCCTCCGATCACAGTACATGTCAATTCTTACAGCTGTTAAAGCTGCTGCACTGTACACGCAACAGTACAACAACACTGTTGAAGCATGCTGTGTACCGAACACTCCCTTGCATCATCTTTGATGACCTCACTTATATAATACCAACATGAGGCAGGGGATTGCACACACTTGCAAACCCTAAAACATTATTCACTCTGAAGTGTGCAGCCCCTTCATTCTCTCAAAGGCATTGAAGAACAAAACAACAATATAACAAAGGACCATATCCCAACATTGATTACATCGTGTGTCCCTAGTATTATTGTGTCTTTGTTTATGTTATTCACTTGTAACTCTTACTCAGCTTATTTAGAAGCATCTCGTAGGACACTTTGTAAATCATAAACCTTGTGTTTGTGTTGACTAGAGTTAGTTAAGTGATTAGCTTTGTGATAGAGTTATTACAAAGAGGCTTGCAATATAGTTATTTCAATTAGGTGAAGGATTAAGAGTTTAATTTCTAGGTTATAATAGGTTGTAATTTAAAAGTTGCTCAGCTAGTGAAGTTGAAATCATACGAGTGTAGGTTGTGGTTTTTATTCCCGTGAGCTGCTAGTTTTCTGCATAAATATCGTTGTGTTATTTACTTACTGCTGTATTTTGTGGGAACTGATAGAGAACCAGGTTCTCTATACAGTTTGGTGGACTCTTAGTTTATATAAATTGGTATCAAAGCAGGTTCTTTTTATAAGATTAACACCTAGAAAGGATCTACATGGCCACTACACTAAATTTTGAAAAAGGTCAATCAACCTGTGACCACAAAGATTCAATGAAAAATACTACGGCTGGTAGAAGACAAGAATGCATGATTTTATCATGGCAGAAGATTCAGAGCTTTGGGATGTCATATGTGATGGACCCTTTGTCCCTATGAAGACCATTGGCGAGACAACAGTCACAGTTCCAAAGACAAGGAAGGAATATAATGATGTTGATCGTAAAGCCATCGCGAAAAACTTCAGAGCAAAGAAGACCCTCGTCTGTGGCATTGGACCAGACGAGTACAACTGCATCTCAGCCTGTCAATATGCCAAGGCGATCTGGGAGGCTCTCTAAACTGCACATGAAGGAACCACTCAAGTCAAGCAGTCAAAAATCGACATGCTCACTACTGAGTATGAACTCTTCAAGATGAAGGAGGATGAGTCCATTCAGGACATGCATACTCGCTTTACTTCCATCATCAATGAGCTTCACTCTCTTGGAGAGATTATCCCAAAGAACAAACTGGTCAGAAAAATACTCAATATGTTACCTGGTTCCTGGGAGAGCAAATTCAATGCTATCACGGAAGCCAAAAGTCTGCAAAAGCTGACGATTCACGAACTCATTGGAAATTTGAAAATTTATGAAATAAAGAAGAAGAAAGATCATGAAAGAAAAAAACCCAAAAAAGAGAAGAACCTTATTTTCAATGCAGACAATAGTGACTCAAGTGGTGATGATACTGACATTGACTATGTTACACAGAGATTTCAGAAAATGGTTTGTAGAAA